AAAAAGGCAAAAGTTTAGTCTGGGCAAAATCTTCATTTGAGAACCTTTCATTTGAGTAATCATATACAGAGGTCATTCTAAAAAACCCCAACTGCCCATTCTTTGTGCTCTCTCTGCTAAAAGGCTTTACTGGTTCATAAGGTTTCATGGTGATGCTTTGTGCTCATAGATGCTCCCTAATCAGCTTTCAGTGGTTTTAGCAGCTCATAGAGATCAACATGTACTATGAGTTTAAAAAGACATCAGTTTCACACAAAAACTAAGTAGTAGCTGATCGACTTTTACAAAAAATGATCATTTACACACATTAACCTTTTGCACCTAGGGCTGGGTGATAAAACGATAATGATAATTATCATGATATAACTTTACTCAATAGAAATATAAGAAATGTTTGATAATTTTCGATATAATACACCATTCTCACACCTCCACGTTCTAGCGACAGCGGGTGCACTTCCAAGTTTTTCGACATGGTTAGAGAGGAAGGGGGCGAGTAAGTAAAATGAATCACCAAATATACGTTGGCAATGTCTGAAACGTGGAGTTATATTTAAGTATTAGTGCATTCCCAAGCAACGAAAGTGAAAGAAAGAAGTGGGTTCATGCAAGTTACAGCCCTGATTAAAACGAAAGGCATTGGAAAGGCATTGGAAAGTGGGAGAACACTGTCTTCCCAGGCTAGCTGTTTTTAGCAGCTGGCTAACTTGAAGCAGCGCTCTGTCACTCGCACAACACAGCGACTTGATGTTACTGTAGTAACTGTACCTAAAAGGAGGACTCTGTTTGTCTGGTGTGAGATATATTGCGGTTCACCCCTCAAATTACTATAGAGAAATCCAGACGCCTGCTAGCTGGTGTTTGAATACTGTGATGTACTCTGACAGGGTTGTGGTAGGAGTGACGGCAGTAAGGGGGTGTGATCCATCACTGACGTACCGAGCCAGCTAACGTTTGCTGCTTGTACTAAACTGACGTTGTTGAGAAACTAAACAGTTCAGCACTGTTGTTGGCCACTTGTTTAGCATTTGTAATAGGATAGTCTAGCACTCGTCACCAGACAGCTCTTTCTTAAATTATGACTATTACAAAAACTGCAGCTGTGCTTTTTCAGCTGGTAAAAACAGCCAACCAGAAACTTTCTCCCACTGCCCCAAGACTTGTGAAATGTTCCACTATTTGGCAAGTGTGTATCATGTTCTGACCATAAAGGATAGTTTAAAACAGCAATTAACCACTCAGGAGCAAAAATCAGCCTTTAAATTTGAAATAAATAATGATTTGACATTTATTGCGATATGTATCAATATTGAACGATATGAATTTTGTTTATTGTGATAACATTTGTGGCCATATCATCCAGCTCTATTTGCACCCGTTATTCAAAAACTATGAAAGAAAGAAAGCAATGATCCATCCAAAAATGAAAGCTTACCACTTACTAGACTTCAGACTTTTAGTTTAAATCTGTCCAGTTAAGTTTATCAAGGGTTTGATATCAGTCATACTTTAAAATTTTATGAAGCAAAAAATGAGAATAAAGGGCTGATTTCCAGATGAGATCAGTCTGCTGCTGTAGAATCTGGCAGTGTGGAAAATCATTAAATCTACATGATATTTATGTGTGTGTGTGTATGTGTGTGTGTGTGTGTGTGTGTGAAACTAGTTAATTTACTTGTCACCACATTAAATAATTTTTAGGTAGATCTGACAAGCCACTTTTTATAGTGTAAGGACATTTTCAGAGATGCAATAAAATATCCAGTGGCTAGATTTCTTTTTAATGTTGTTGCTGGGTTTTGTTGTTTGCACCACCCCCCTTTGACCAAAAGATGACTGTCATTGAACATTGTTTACACGTTTGCTATCTGCTGTAATGACCTTGTATAGTGACTCGCCCTGTATAAACTATGCAGCTTATGAATTTCTCTGTATGCACCCTTCTCTGGACCATGACTATGGTTTCCCTTTTGAGTTCTGGTTCCTCTCAAGGTTTCTTTCTCTTGCTCTTAGGGAGTTTTTTCTTGCCACTGTCACCATTAGCTAGTTAATTGGGGATGGGACCCGAATTTTTCTGTAAAGCTGCTTTGTGACAACACCTGTTGTAAAAAAGCGCCATATAAATAAACTTTGACTTTGAGCAGGTTTGTGTAAGGCGAGAGCAGGAGCGGAGGAACGCAAGCCGTAGAGTCTTCAAGCACCGCAGCCATGGTGGCGTTTTCTACAGTAAGGAAAGCAACACTGCTCTGCTGTCGCCACGAGTTTTTCAACATGATTGGGGTCGGGGGAGATCAAGGAGTGAAATCAGTCGGCAAATATACTTTAGCAACGTTGAAACATGGAGTTATACATTCCCTGTTTGAGTGGAGCGATATGTGGCATTGTTGCATGGTCTGTGCAGCCGCTCAAGCTGAGGGTCAAACAATGGCAGCAAAGAGCAGGGTTCTTTACCTCCACCCGGAGCCAAGACAGAGTGGAATACATTAGCATAGGAGATGCAATTCGTCTATTAGGGCACACTGGTGCATAGTCGTGGTCCAGAGAAGGATGCGGTTTGGACGAAGGTTGTGGAGGGTGAGGGCAGGAGTAGAGGAACGTGAACCATCAAGGAACCACTGGAATGAGCCGCCAAGGAAGCGCTGGAACCGGGCAGGGAGAACGCACATGCCCGGGGAAATCAAGATCCTAGATTAAGGGCTCGCTAGCCAGACCAACAGGTACAAAGAAAATGGATTTGATTGGGATGTGGACTGGACTGTATCTGCAGAAGAAGCAGGCAGACGGCCGAAGGGAATTCAGGAGAGAGAATAGAGGTCTGTACCAGAGCGGCTCGTAGCTGCCCTAGCATCACACAACTGATTGTGAACGGAAGGTGAGGATGTTAATTTATAAGGTGTTAGATTGGAAGAAGGAGGGGTTTCTGCCATGCTCCTCCCCCCCAAACTTCAGTTATACCATAACTACATTTATTTAGTTTGGACTGCCACATTGTTATGTGCTTGGTTCTCCAACAATTCTGGACACGTTCTCGAATTTCAATCTTCAACTATGATAAAGATCAAGAGACACACCTTTCTGTGGTGAGCATGAAGTGATATGTACGCCTGTATTCTTGAGGTTGGAAACTGTCCTTACAGCAGTAGCGGAACTTGTTTTACCCAGCAATTAAGCACTTTTGTTTTTTTTTGTTTTTTTTTGTGAAAAGGGCGTACTACAGGGTGTTACTAGATGCTTACCATGATATCTGTCAAGGTTGCTAGGGGGTTGCTAAGTGTTTGCTAGTGTGTTGAAGCACTATACAAATTTACACCACCTTTTCTTGAGCATTCAGCCTTTCATTCATATTGGAAAAAAAAATGACTGAGTCATTGCTACAGAGAAAACGGTATGTCCAATCAAAAAACTGTAAATCAGCCTGCCTCTCACCATCAGACCATATATTCTGGAGTTAATTCATTGTTGTAATTTCAACCTGAGCAATGAGTTAGCAGACAACGATTTAGCAGAACAATAAGAAGAAAACAGAAAAAGAATAATAATATAAAAATATCAGATAACAAGAGAGTTGAAACTTAGTGTAAGTGTAGGAAGCTAAAGCTAAACTTTCTGTGTACGAGCCTTGGAATTTACATTTAAGCATAATAATAAGGTTTTCACATTAAGGTAAAACTTTGTGACAAACACTCTTCCTTTCTTTCTTTCTTTCTTTCTTTCTTTATTGCTTTCTTATAATTAATGACATTGTTAATTTGTAAATGTTATATACTTAATTAAACCTGTTGTTATTGTGTGAATTTACTGCAAACACGTTTTCCAAGAAATCCCAGCCCCCCCTCTCCCCAACGCCCCAAACCCCTCTGCACATTTCCTGAGTGAGGCAATACTGCAGCTGGAAAACCTCCAAATAGGAGACGCGTTAGAATGCTCCATTTTTGGTTGTTGAGAAGTTTAGGGGAATTTCTGTGACTCAGATTCAGATGTTGCTGATAAAATAATTTTTGCATCTGTTTTGCATTAAATACATGGACAGAACACATTTTTTTCTAGATCCATGTTTGATCCACTACCAAATTTAATTCTTTTCTTTTAGGATTTCATGTTAAATGTCTAAAAGTCAAGTGGATGTGCTTGTGTGAATATTGAAATTATTTATTATACCAGCACTTTTGCTCTTTTATAGCGACCGAACCTAAAGGTGATCTGTGCAGATTTGCTTTTTTCAGATAAAAATGAAGTTCAATAAAGTAACAATTTATTAATGGGGGTCTACGCTGTGGGTTTTTTGAGCCATTGAATGTCAGTGATGCTGATATTTGCCTCTATTGTCATGAAGAAACAAACTGTTTTCATATTATTTCATTAATCATTTAGCCTCAGTCAACAAGGGGCTTCAAAAATAGTATGTTTTCATCATCGTGCCACCCTCTCTCTTACCCAGACGAGTGTTTTACTTTGTTGGTTGTAAGATCACATTATAAATGGAAAAGATCCAACAAGACTCATTTTACATCAGGAAATACTGCAATTTCAAGCATGACGGTATATGGTGCATATAAAACTATTTATATTGTGGGATCATGGCATCCCTGAGTTTAGTTTTAGTTGAGTTATTCTGTTCTGTAGCTTTAATTTAATGTTTTTTGTTCTGGGAACTCTTTATTTTAGGAGAGCCGAGACTGACAGTGAGTGCTAGCCTAGCCAGAGGGCACTGTTTTTTTTTCCCTTTTTCAATTTTTCCTGCACTATTCATTGCTGAATTCAATAAAGTTGAGTTATAGACAGACATTTTGACGTTTCTGAGTTTATCCTATGCTCTGGACCTGCTAGAGTTCAGTCTGTTTGTAGGTATTTGTTTTAGACCCCTAACAAAGCCTTTAACAGAATGCAAACCTGTTTGGAGCTCAGTCTGAGACATGCTAGTTAAGTCTCGCCTACTTGGACTTGGTCCAGCTTGAAGGAATACATACGTTTATTTTCTGTGGAAAGCAGTGTGTAAGCCACTCCTCCTGAGGGACACAGAAGAGTCTTTCAGAAGAGGAAGAGAAACAGCAAACACCAACTGCACTCCACGACGAAAACAACAGCTCTTCTTTTCTGGTAACAGTGGTTAATTTTATATTTCATAAACTTATTTCATGAATATGTACTAATTATTCATGTATGTAACATAATAATCTATTTACAATAGGTATATCTATAGTTATACCTGTAGGTCACATTATGGCCTGGTTTCATGCTAATTTATATTCTTTTGTTTTCATGGTTTATTAAGAGTAACCACTTCATACATAGCCCTTTACTGAATGTTTTTAGTGAAGTTTGTTGACCTATTGAAATACAAATAATCTATATTATTAGACTATTTTCCAGTGTGACGTGACATTCTTTCGTGTGTTTTTCATATTTGCCGTTCATCTGTCATTTGTCTTGGTTTATTTAGTTTGTTTCAACCTAATTTTCAACATTTAATGTTAACTTTAATAGCAACTCCATGTTTGCATTCCAAGAATGATACAGTTTTCAAACTTTCAAAATAGTTTCATTGGTTTTAAAGGGAAACTCAACAGCTGTGATCTTTAACAGTTCTGTTGTAGTTCTCTTGTACTGACAGTGTGATGAATGTTTGGTCTTTCACAGGTGAATAATTCAGTCCGCTTTAAAGATGTCGGCCACTGCTGTTCCGCTCCCTAACACGAGGAATGGCTACACCATTGTGACCCACGTGATCTCTCCACCAGCATCAACTGAACCTGAGCAACTTATCTACACTGTAGGCCCACTTCGGACGTTTCTGAAAGGAGAACCAAAAGCATTAGGAGTAAGATACCCAACTTGCTGGTCATGTTTTTGTGTTAAGTAGCCCACATAATTGAACATTTAGTTACTGTTGCATTTTAGCTTGTTGGAGTGTTCAAACATAGTTCATTTTTTCGTTTTGTTTAATTCACTCTGCAGTTCATATGTGAAAATTTAGTTGAAATAACAGCTTGCATTGCCATGAAAAAGTAGTTGAACCTCCTTGATTTCGTCTATTATTCTATATTTGTCACATTCAGCTGTTTCAGATCCTCATACAAAATGTAATCTAAGGCAAGGTGTAGTGTGACAGCTGGTTTACCTCGAGTGGGGATCAAACGAGCAGTTCCCCTGTTCAGATACCAGAAAACTAGGTGGGGTAAGCCACTGGCCACACGCAAAAAGTGGACTCAAGTGCAGAGTGGTACAGACTCGAAAGTGTTGAAAAAAACCTAAGAGGTTACACTAAGCTATACTTAAACTCACAACCTCACAACACAGGGGCAAGTGTGTTACTGTTGAGCTACCATGGCAACAATATAGAGAGTCTCACAGGGGAGTTAATAAAGAAATGGTGGGAGGTTGTGGCCAAACAAAAGAAACGCAAGAGCAGCGCCTTCAGACTAAAAAAGAGGTACAGAAAAACTGAAGTGGAAAGCAGTACTGAAAGTTTGGCAAAACCCATATAACTCACCTGCTGTACCACCACTCCTGCCAACTTTAGCAGCAACTGCTTCAACCAAGCACTTCTTATGACTGGAGTTGAGTCTTGGAGGGCTGGAGATTAAGGTACCAGCCTTGTGACCAGAAGGCTCACCGGTTTAAATCCCTGAGCCGACAGTACATGACTTAGGTGCCCTTGAGCGAGGCACCTAACCCCCAGCTGCTCCACAGGCGCCATGGATAGGGCTGCCCACTGCTCTGGGCAGGTGTGCTCACTGCCCCCTAGTGTGTATGTGGTGTTTCACTGCATGGGTGGGTTAGATTGTGGAGGTGAAATTTCCCCTTTGTAGGACTAATAAGGGTCTCTTAATCTTAATCTTCATAATGATGTGGAGGGACCAATTGGAAGACTTTTGAGCATGAACTGCCCATTTAAGGTCCTGCCTCAGCAGCTCAATGAGGTTCAAGTTAAAACCTTGACAAAGCCACTCTGAAACCTTTGCTGTTGGGCTTCGACTCATTCTCTTGAAGGCAAAGTGACAAGAACAGCTAATATAATTCTAAGGGTAGAGATTGGAAGATGTTTACATGAAAATTAATTGTGACCGTTTCTGATACATAAACCTACATACAAATTAAAAGCAGATCTCAGAGTAAATACAATATAAAAAAATGTCGGATATGGACACTTATGTACAATTGATGAATATAATGGAATGAATAAATAAATAACTAACTGTAACAGTACTGTATATGAGTTGTGAAGAAGGAAGTGAGAGTTGTAAGTGAATAAAAAGTAGAAACACAGGAAAGACAAGATAAAATAAGTGTAGGAGAAGCCTGAGCTTGTTCAGTTTATGTTTACTAATGAATCATAGCAATGACGTCAGTGGATGGAGTAGTTTACACTGACTGAAAGGAAATGGATAGAAGTTCCTGGTTACAGTGGGAGATTTCCTGTGGAGTCACAGTGGGATTGGTTTCAGGGCATTTGCTTTTCTCTTTGTGTATGTTACCTCTTGATAAATGTCGTCATCAGAAAACATGAGATTAGCTGTGATAGCTATGTTGATTACATGCAGTTGTGTGTCAGACTTTTGTCAGTGGAGGTCAGAATGTAATACAGTTGCACATACGGTCATTTAAAAGAGTCTGTAAAGTGGTGATGGCTTTAGAAAGAGGGAATTTCAAGAAATGGGGAATTCACATTTGCTACGTTTGAATTTTGAGATTAAGATCGAGTATTAAGTGACAATTAGAACAGAGTCTAATGTATATGTGAGCCATGGTTATGAAACTTAATAATATATAAAATATCTTAATACAAAAGTATTTTTGCTGAATTGTAAAAAGTGGCTCATCAGATCTACTTAAAACAATGGCTTCATGTGGTAACAAGCAATTGAACTAGTTTTATTCAACTTAAAAAATTACATTGAAAGAATCGCACATTCAAAGTTTTTTAATTAGGTTGAACAAAACTAGTTAATTTACTTGTTACCACATGAAGTGTTTTTTTTTTTTAGGTAGATCTGATGAGCCACTTTTTACAGTAGAAATAATATGTATGAGTATATAATTTTTATAATTTTAGTTATACATCCTACATTCACTCATCATTTGACCATTCAAGCTCTAGTAAAATAAATTATGTGCATAAACTGCAATAGAGGTTCACAGCTTTCAGTATTCAAATGCAACCGGTATTGATATTACTCAAACATCTGTTTTTTGTTTGTTTTTTTTTCCACAGAGTGTTCAAATAATGATCGGTTTGTTCACATTCTTGCTTGGTATGGTGCTAACCGTCTACATTCCCGCATTCACTGTCTTCAGTGGAATTGCATTTTGGGGTGCTTTGGTGGTAAGATTTATTCAATCATTCCATCAGATTGAGATACATCTATAAATAATCCCCAATACCAATTTAAATGAAAACTCTACTAAAATACATTTTTCCTCTCATTCAGTACATCAGCACTGGCTCTCTGGCTGTTTCAGCAAATAACAAGCTTCATCACTGTGTGGTATGTGAACACCAACTACAGTTTAAGTGTTTTTACATTTTTTGCATGAAGATACTCTGAGGTATATTTCAACAATACATTGAAGGTCCTTAAAACTGTACTATATTGTGAATGCATGATTAATAAAGAACTGAACTATATCATTTGTTACTTAGAAATAATTTGGTCTCTAACAGTGTTTTTATGTGTATCAACTTCAGTGTTTCCTCATGTAGTAACACAATCATATTCTGGTAGTTGTAACAGCATGTTTCTACTTATGTAATTACACATGTGTAACAGTGTGATGGCAATTATGTTTGTATGAACTGAGGTTTAATTTCCTACATTATGAGAGTATTTACACTGCATCTGCATTGGAACTGATAACATTCCTAACATATAGCTACTTGTGGTACTTTGCTTGTATTGTGGCATGGTCACCTAATCAAAGTCTGTAATGTTTTACTCAGCAACAGCATGTGTCCATTTATCTATTAATTCAAAATATAGATATTTTTATGAAGCTACTGTGCATTTACAGACTGATATTAATTCTTTTTTGGAGGTCTGTGTGTAGATGCATTAAGATTGAAGATTGCAAATCAAGATATTGCTTTTAGTGTAATAACTGTTTTAATGAATTCTTTTAAAATGTTACTTTTACAGATATGTGCAGTTACTGTGTAAATACAGTCACAATACAGAGTGCTTTAAAGACAGAAGATTGGTTAAGTTGCCATGAAAAAACACAAGCATAATACTACAGCTAGATAAATGTTAGGACAGTTGGTGTTTCCTGTGCAGATACAATGTAATGACTCTCATAATGTAGGTAATTACACAACTGTTACAACCAGATAAGGCTTAGAAACATAGCAGTTCACTCAATTACATTTGGGTAATCATATAAGAGGAAATAAGCTGTTATGATTATCATGATAAACTTGTGCAACTGAATGAGTAAAACATTGATAAACTTGTGTATTTACATAAACTGTACTACAGTAATCCATCTGTATCAGAGAATTCATCACTTGAAAAAATAATTTGTTTGATGTATATTTAGTTCTAAGCAAAAAAAATTAGGCACCTAAGCAAATTATTTAATACCACTTATCTTAGTGTTTCGCTTGTAAAAACCCAGGAGATCATTACAAATCAAAGTGAAAAACAAACACAAGAAACAGTGACAAGAATTTCCTTTTTTGAATAAAGTTGTTCTTGTGAGTTTAAAGGAAAAAGTCACACGTTTGGCACGAAATTGTGACATGCCACTAAAATGAAACAAAATATTTCATTTTTTATAAATGTTCACAGCTTTATTTGAAATGTTTGACATATAGTTGTTGCCTTTATTTTAGAGGTGCAATGCATGTTAGTGTATGATGTCTCATATTTGAACAGGAGGTTATATTGTCCTGTGGAAAAAATACAATACAGTGCACATTGTGCAGCATTTTAGTGTGATTTTCAGCCACAGGACAAAAAAAGAAGCTACTGTTAAACCAAACAACTTTCCTGTCAATAAAAAGAACAGTTTTGAAAACCTGGGCAACCTTGGCTGTGCCCATCTGTTGAATGAAACTTCATTCATAAATGACTTCCTTGATTTTACCTGAACTCAAGCCATGTAAATGGCAACATGCCAGTGAGCTCTGCCGATGTACAGCATTTACAAAGTCCATAGGCTACAGTTCAAGGAAAGGAGATAAGAAAGGAAGTTAAATTCCACTACTTGGATACAGACCCAGATGTTTCACCGTGCAAATGGCAAGGCTTGTTATTTCAGACTGTATATAACTGATGTAGAGCTGAGAGTCCCACATATCTGTGTTTTGTTGAGTAATTATAATGTGCAGATGTCTTCACTGACCATCAGGGGACAGATTCACAAACACTTTCCTAAGAAAAAACTTTAAGGTTTAACCTTAGGTTCTTAAGACAAACACTAAGAAGTTCAAAAGAATGTTCTTAAATGCAGTTCTTGAAAAAACCTTAAGAAGTTCTCAAATATTCTTTTCAGATGATCTGAATTACTTTCCTAAGATGTTCTAAAGCAAACCTTCCTTGTTTTCTTGTGTGGGTTACGTTGCATTTTACCCCACACTATACATGATGAAAGATACAGTTTGAATTTGTATTAACTATTATTTCTGCTGTTAGGTTAATCTGTGCAAATGACAGCAGAATAGGGAAAAAAAAACATCCAACCAAACAATTTAACACGCAAGAACTAAAGGTGATGGGGGAAGAAAAAAAAATCCTCCTTGTAAAATAATTGTGGGGTGATGGGAGAAAGCAAGAGGTGAGGATGGGCAGGAGTTGCAGAGTTTGTCAACTCTTACAGCCCAAGACAAGTGTGAGGCTTTTGTAAGGTTAAGGAAGCATTTAATAGAGGGCTCCCGAGTGGCACAACCATCCCAATCATCAGGACATTGTGAGCTTGATCCCTACAACCATCCGGGGCCGAGAGTCCAAGACAGCACAATTGGCCTTGCTGTCTCTGGGTTGGTAGGATGTCCCTCGCTCTACCGCATCACTCAGTGCGATGCTAGTCAGCACAGGTGTGTGTTAGCTGATGTAACAGAACTGGCAGCTGGTGTTCGCCTCTGAGTGCGTTCAGCTGTCCAGTGAGTTCGAAAAGATGCGGTGGTGTTTCACAGGACTCGGAGGAAGCCTGTACCAGCGTTTGCCCTCCTAGCACAGGTGGAATCAATTAATTGGGTGAGTCCTGACTAGTGGGTGGAATTCGCAGTGACAAAATCAAAAAAATGTGAAAAAAGAACAAACGTGTAAAACAGAATATTTTCAGGAATACCACTTGTTCTTAGAATTCCTCTCACGAAAATAGTTAAGAAAAGAAAAAGAATTTCTAAGAATGTGTTTGAAGAATAACTATTGTTACTTGAAGTTAATGAAAAAAAAATGATAAGAACGAAGTTAAGAGGATTTTCTTTCTTAAGACGCTTTGATGAATCTGGCCCCAGAATCTTAATGAATTTGCATAAATAGGTAAAGTTTGTGTAGAGAGCAGTTGAGCTCAAAGCTATTGTCTGTTTGAAAGAGACCTTGTGAGGAAACTTGTAGGCAGCTCAGCTGAAATGACTCTCCTTCAGCTAATGTTACTGCTGTGCTCTGCTGTTTGGATTGTTGCCATATTGACTGTGCAAGAAACCTGAGAAACTGGCTGCAGTGCTGCTCACTGCATGTGTCAGGTGTGAAGGCTTTGAGTAAATGTAAATGAGTGGTGTGGTGTAATACTTCTGGCTTAAAATGTCAGTTTCAGTACAAATGACACAGTGTGTCCTCTCTTTATCTGATAGTGTTGGAAGGCAGTTACTGCACAGACACATTTCATGTTATCACACTCTCAGCTTTACCATTTTTATTTACGAAAAGTCAGCCAGTGATTGAATCTCAGTCTCTCGGTGATAAGACAAACACCTAGACGGTTGCACTAGTTGGAAGCCCCATTTGATTTGATGATCTATTTGATGCCATTGGTGTTTTCTTCTTCTGTTATGCCTCGTTCTGCTTCAAAATGAAAAAGGCTAGACAACAAATATGTTCAGTTAACCAGCACTTGCTCAATTAATAGCATTAATCCTTTGCTTTTGTTTTCTGATTCTCATCTAGGTGAGGGGTGCTCTGTGGATGAATGTGTTTAGCACCATAATTGCAGGAATAAACATCATCCTGCTTTCCCTGGATTTGACACTAGGGCAACTGTTTAGGTACTGCAACCATAATAGTGGCTATGGTTGTAGCCCTAAGGTAAGATTTTTCACCACATGACATAATTAATGGTACATCGCTTCATTTTATTTGAATGGCCAGAGACCATCCTGCATTCATTTGATTTCCAGTGAAAATGGCAGTTAAATACAAGTAATGCACTTTTCAGGAGTGACTTTAAACATGGCACTGTCATAGGATGCCACCTCTGCCACAAGTCAGTTTGTGAAATTTCTGTCCTGCTAGATTGGCCTGTCAACTGTAAGTGCTATTATTATGAAATGGAGGCACCTAGGAGCAACAATAGCTTAGCCATGAAACGGTAGACCACTCAAACTCACAGAGTGGAGCTTGTGAGTTTTGTAAGTTCCAAATTGCTTCTGGAAGCCACTTCAGTAAAAGAACTGTGCATCAGGAGCTTCACGAAATGGGTTTCCACGGCCGAGCAGCTACACACAAGCCTAAGATTAAAATGCACAATGCCACGCATTGTGGGGAGTTTTGTAAGGCATGCCGTTACTGGACTCTGTGGAGTGTTGAATCACGCTTCTCTATCTGTCAGTCTGATAGACGAGTCGGGATTTGACAAATGCAAGGAGAACATTACCTGCCTGACTGCATTGTGCCAACTGTAACGTTTGGTGGAGGAGGGATAACACTGTGGGGTTGTTTTTCAGGGGTTGGCCTAGGCCCCTTAGTTCCATCTTAATGCTTCAGCACATCAAGACTTTTTGGACAATTGTTCACTTCTAACTTTGTGGGAACAGTTTGGAGAAGACGCATTTCTGTTCCAGCATGGCTGAGCCCCAGTGCACAAAGCAAGGTTCATAAAGGCATGGCTGAGTGAGTTTGGTGTGGAAGAACATGACTGGCCCGCACAAAGCCCTGACCTCAACCCCATCAAACACCTTTGGGATGAACTAGAATGGAAATTGTGAGCGAGGCCCTCTCGTCCAACATCGGTGTCACACAAACGTCAACCTCACAAACGTTCTTCTGGATGAATGGGCAAATTCCCACAGTGTATATATATATATATATATATATATATATATATATATATGTGTGTGTGTGTGTGCATATATATTCGGGCATAACATTATGACCACCTCCTTGTTTCTACGCTCATTGTCCATTTTATCAGCTCCACTTACTATATAGGTGCACTTTGTAGTTCTACAATTACAGACTGTAGTCCATCTGTTTCTCTGCATACTTAATAGCCCCCTTTTACCCTGTTCTTCAGTGGTCAGGACCCCCATGGACCATCACAGAGCAGGTACTATTTGGGTGGTGGATCACTGCAGTAACACTGACGTGGTGGTGGTGTGTTTAGTGTGTGTTGCGCTGGTATGAGTGGATCAGACACAGCAGTGTTGCTGGAGTTTTTAAACACTGTGTCCACTCACTGTCCAATCTATTAAACACTCCTACCTTGTCAGTCCACCTTGTAGATGTAAAGTCAGAGACGATAGCTCATCTGCTGCTGCACAGTATGTGTTGGTCATCCTCTAGTCCTTCATCAGTGGTCACAGGACGCTGCCCACAGGACGCTATTGTCTGGATATTTTTGGTTGGTGGACTATTCTCAGTCCAGCAGTGACACTGAGGTGTTCATAATGTTATGCCTGATATATGTATATATATATATATATATATATATATATAGAGAGAGAGAGAGAGAGAGAGAGAGAGAGAGAGTAATTTAATATTGTCAATAGTAGTGTTCACTGTTTTTTTATTCAATATGTATATATACATATCTATATGGTCTCTTTTTTGCACAATACGCAATACTGTTATCAAAAATGTTACTAAAATATTTTTATGAAGTCTTCACATGGCTTTTTAAACTGCATAGTTCATATACCTTAAGAATGAACCAGATTATGATGAAATAACCTTTCTTTTTTTTCTTTTTTAGGGCCTCACCACTGGGATTTTTGTAGTTCTGTTGATTTTTTCCATAATTCAGTTCATCATCTCATTTTGTCTCTCAGCCTTTGCCTGTAAAGCCACCTGCAGTGCTGAACCTTCTGTACGTATCAGAAAAAATAAGGCCAATTTCAGAGATGCAATAAAATGTCCAATGAGTAGATTTCCTTTTCCTTTTCTTGGCATTGCTAAGTTTTGTTGTTTACACTGTCCCCTTTTGATCAAGAGATGACTGTCAGTGAACATGGTTTACACATGTTTTCTATCTGCTGTAATGACCTTGTAAAGTGACTCACCCTGTATAAACTATGCAGCTTATGAATCTCTGTATGTCTGTAGGTGAACATCACTGTGGCTCCAAACCAAGCAAGACGTCCTGATTACCCCAGTGAGCAGGTAATAATATGTAAAATTATCCATGGAGTCAGAAGAGTAAATACTGTGAAATTAGAGCAAAATTACTTTGAAATGTGTTACAGTTCTGTACTGTAAATTTACAGCCCTTTATCGGCAAGTAAGCTGCCAGTTACTCACTATATAAAGTTTATAGTCTACAGCTTTTACAGTGTCCATGTTCTTTGTTTTATAGTATCCACTGAATGCGATCAACAATGCCACCATAAACAGTCCACCAATGGAAAGTCCTCCACCATACAGTGAGATTAAAGGCCAACCAGATAACTGAGACTAAAAAATCTCCAGATGAAACATCACAATAATACTATATATGCACTGCTACTGTAGAAATATTCAGAATTACATGTTTTATTTAGTATCAGAATATATGGTATGCTGCTGGTTTCATTTTTATTGCACTGCCTTTGATTTTAATTTTATGATGTTTGTTACCAGTTGTTGCACTGTTTTATATTGTTTTTTCTTCTTCCAAAGTTTTAAGTCGAACTGCTCCGATGCAAAGATGCTTCAGTAATGTAATGAGAACATCAATGCTTTGTTTTTATTTAATACATCAATTCTCAGTATGTTTGTCTGTTGTATATATTGGACACATTCTATAGGCCTATATATTTTTGTATTAATGCCACTTTGATGTCGTAATTCTACAACTTTGTTTCTCAAAATAGTATGACTTTTTTCTCGAAATATTATGACTTTTTTCCTCGAAATACCACAACTTTTTTCTCAAAATATTACAACTTTATTCTCGTAATATCATCCCGTACGACTTTTTTCTGAAAATATTACGACTTTTTTCCTGAAATATTATGACTTAATTCTCAAAGTCTTCCATTTTTATTTTTATTAACAGTGGCCCTAAAACGCCATCATATTACTCAGTGCTAATACAGTTGTGTTGTTATCCACTGTTCTGCTGCTCACTGGTTGTTCTTTATTCACTGCACTGTTGTCTGTAAACTCCAGAGACTGTTTTCATAAAAGTCCCAGGTGGGCAGCTAGTTGCTGTTTATGTGACACCAACAATTACACCACACTTGATGTTTCTTAGGCCATGTGTCTTGCACAGCCTAATGTTTAGACTAAAAACAATGAAAACTGTTTAACCAAGTCTGCATGCTTTAATAGCTACTGAACTTTAACTGGTTGTGTATGTGAGTAAGCCTGTTTGAAAATGTTTCCATCACAGCATCATTTCTATAACATTGTAGGAAACTTGGAATATTTTAGAGAACAAATAACATGAACAAAAGTTAGGATACATTTACACTACTTATAAAGTTATTATCAGCATTTTCACAGCTCCCGTAAAAGACAGTGCTCTATGAGAGGGGTTTTCATCTCCATTCCTAAGGCCTGTATAATAATTATACACACATTGAACATCAATATGTGGACAGTTTCTTTTTTCATGATTATTTTATTGTATAGATTTTTCAACCACCTATAAAGTACTGCTATTTAAAAAAAATAATAAAGGAGCATAGTTTGTTTAAAATGCATAAAATGTATTGTTTTTTAAATACTACACTCTTTCTTTAAGGGTAGTAAAGACAGTGATTCCATATTGCACCATAAACACTCAAAGCACTATTTGTCTGCTTATGTGGTTCTTTATATGGTGAAATTGTTCTTCAGATTCATGGAAAATATGTTGTATATGGTTCTGTCTAGCACCTAAAAGGATTCTGCTATTGTTAATGATATCAAGCCTGTAACAATAGCAGAACCCTTTGTGGTTTCCAAAAAGATGTAATATACAAACATATACAACACATTCTCCATCAATCTGAAGAACCATTTCACCATGCAAAGAATCATTTAACCCCTGGGGCCGCAATTTCTGGGCAAAACGGTAGGTCACTTCTAGCCTTCATAACTTCAGAACGTTTTAAGATACAAACATGATCCACATATTAGGACATTCAGCAGACCCACCCCTAACTAGCAAGCATGACGTCATCAAGCTGTGAAGTCAGCATCAGTGAGTAATTTGGCTTGGAAAATCACATAAAATCCTGATAATATTGCTCTGCTGTTTGGCCACCATATTACAGCAAAGGGTTAAAACAGTGACATGATTCACACATCAGATCATTCATCAAACTCAGCAATCCAGCTCCAAAATCACCCAAAACCCACTCGCTACTGTTATATTACATCTCTGCTTTTAGCCTTCATATTATAAACAAAGGGCTGTCAGTTTACATTGATTTTGAGTATTAAAAGGATCTGATATTAAATATGCAACTCAATTTGTAATTAAAAATAAAGACTGTCTTGCTGGGTATCAGAGTTTTAGCACTGAGCATGAATCCAAGAGGACAGAAAATCAATAAAAGAACATGTCTGACTTATGCTAACTGTTAACTGTTACTGCTAACTGAATTACCATCAGAATTATTGCACTTAAAGCTCACAGACACTCCAGACTAACAATTTCTGGAAAGGTTTCTGAGGTGCACCTTGTTTTCAAGATCCCTATAATTAAAAAAATACAAAATGTAGGCGCTAGGTACATTTTTGATCAGAAATGACCCACATTCATAAAGATATCAAATTCTGTTAACAATTGCATATCTGAGTAGCCCAGGGTCTCCTGAAAATAACATGGCATGTGTGCCTGTTACATGTAAATACTTTATGATTACAATTGTAATTAACCTAAAAAATACCAAAAACTTCCCCAAAATTTTAAGTTTCTAAGGGTTAAGCATGTAGATTGAGTGTTCGTTGTTCTACATAAAATCATTGTCTTCACAAAAGAACCCTTGAATATCATTTAATAAGAGTGTGCAACATTATTATAAAACTGTAAACAATGATAAAATGTTAATGGTAATTATTGTGATATAAAATATATCATCACCTGCCTATTGGCCAGTATGGTGTGTGTAGACAGATCTGTACACAATTATTTAATAAACTACATACACTGATCAGGCATAACATTATGACCACCTCCTTGTTTCTATGCTCATTGTCCATTTTATCAGCTCCACTTACTATATAGATGCACTTTGTAGTTCTACAATTACAGACTGTAGTCCATCTGTTTCTCTGCATACTTTGTTAGCCCCCTTTTACCCTGTTCAGACACAGCAGTGCTGCTGGAGTGTCTAAACACTGTGTCCACTCACTGTCCACTCTATTAGACACTCCTACCTTGTCAGTCCACCTTGTAGATGTAAAGTCAGAGACGATAGCTCATCTGCTGCTGCACAGTTTGTGTTGGTCATCCTCTAGTCCTTCATCAGTGGTCACAGGACGCTGCCCACAGGATGCTGTTGGCTGGATATTTTTGGTTGGTGGACTATTCTCAGTCCAGCAGTGACAGTGAGGTGTTTAAAAGCTCCAGCAGCACTGCTGTGTCTGATCCACTCAGACCAGCGCAACACACACTAACACACCACCACCACATCAGTGTTACTGCAGTGCTGAGAATGATCCACCACCCAAATAGTACCTGCTCTGTGAGGGTCCATGGGGGTCCTGACCACTGAAGAACAGGGTAAAAGGGGGCTAACAAAGTATGCAGAGAAACAGATGGACTACAGTCTGTAATTGTAGAACTACAAAGTGCATCTATATAGTAAGTGGAGCTGATAAAATGGACAATGAGCATAGAAACAAGGAGGTGGTCATAATGTTATGCCTGATTGGTGTTTGTGGTTGCTTAAAAATCAGATACCAAATTCACTTTTACTTACGATTAGCATTGAAACTTTTCTTTGCATGAACCATACTTTGGGAAAATATATTAAAATAAAAGTAAAGTTAACAAAAAACCATTTGGTGCTAAAACCTGAATCCACTGAAAGTACATCGTTATCAAGCAAATAAACGAGGTTAAACAACAGAAAGAATTGACTGGCAGAAGATGAAGATATATTTCTGTACAGTTCATACACCTTCACCCATACAACAGTATCTACAAACCAGCAGCCAGATTACTCTTACAGAGCAAAGGTGGTGTTTGCTTTTGTTTGCTTTTTATAAAAAGGAATCTGCAGTGTTGACACACCTGCTGAAAATTTTTTATGATTTAACCACCTATTTACATTCACTTGTACTTGTTTCTGCTTAATTCTGACCAACAACTGGGTCAGCTCATCTATATTTATTCCATACCTCCGATTTGTCTTACATATTAAAAAAAAAAAGTACTTCAGTATGAATATAAAGCTTCCCAAAGAACAAATTAGATCATCAATTGCACAACAGACCAACCCCCACCCAACCCCCACCCCCCCAAAAAAAAAAAAGCATTATAAGCTTAAAACATGAAAAAATATTACCACTCAGGTCAATCAGTCTGAAAATATATGTTTCGCCATCACTCATTTTTAGAATATATAAAGATGTAAAGGAAGCCAATTCGATTCCACTCCATTCCAGCAGATCCAGATATTCTTATAGAGCTCATGGCTGGAACTGAGGCTCAATCTCACTGTACTCTGGAGGTCGTGTCAGCGGTGAGCTGTTCATGCTGGGATTACTGATCACAAACACACCCTGGAAAAGGAGGATTGTTCATAATTACACTGTTACAATACAATAAAAACTGTTTCTTCAGTTTAGTAGAGTAAAACTACCATTCTACCAAATTTATTTAAACATGAGTCATTTTATTAAGTGTAATGTATATTGAGGGTGCATTAAAGAGTAACTACATCCTAAGACCTTTTTTTTTCATTAACAGCTGAAATGCATTGCTTTGTTATAATAAAATATACCAGCCTTGCTTGAAATGTGAACACATCTTTCCAAACTGTAAAAATAAAATATAATATTTTTGTGGTCAGTTCCACCTCTGCAGTGTCCGTCTGGTCCAACTCTGCTATAGGGGCAGATGATGTGTCTTCGTACCAAAGTATGATAACATGTCACATTATGCAAAACACTCAACAAATGTTCAAATGTTACCACCCACTGATGACACCCTACTCGTGCAGTGCTCATAAATATGTAAGCATAGGACCCTGGAGTGAGGAGATAACCACACTCACATGCTGAGCTAAATACCCCCATCACCGCCTCACAAAGTTGTTATGATTTGCACATTTATTGATAATGTTCAGTGTATGATTAAGTAACTTAAGGACCAATTAAGCAAGGATTCTTGCAAGTATATATATATATATATATATATATATATATATATATATATATATATACTCTGCAGCTTGCAGAATGCAAAGGTTTAGGAAAACTGCAGCAAACCCTGGATGATATCCACTTTAGTCATCAACTCGAGTTATATCGAATATGAGCCTGCTAAACAGATAATTAGAAGTAAGCTGTCATGGTTTTAGGGAATGTTCTGCCATTCAGACGCCTCTGACGCTCACTGGTAATCATTTGCTGGCACTACGTTAACTCTTCGGTGGCTTTAGTAAGTGACTCAGACTGTTAAGGTTCAAGACACACTGCCTGATCAGAAACACCTCCCCTCATCAAAGATGGGGATGGTAGTGGAGAAAAATCGTCAGCCTTGTAAGACCTTGAAGTTGCAAAAGTGCCGCTTGATTCTGTGACGCTCCATATTTTCTGGTAGCTAATGTTAGCTTTAAAAACACAGCAGCCCAGCCCACAAAAAGTTTTTTTATGCCAAAACTTAAAATATATTTGTTCCATATGGAAGGAGTCAACTTTTTGGAAAAAAATATATGAAAAAAAATAAAATATATGAAAAGAGATGCCAGTGATATGCCAGTGAAAAACACTGTAGTGAGAGTACTGGATCTGGCTATCTTCATTCACAAACTGAGCAAAACTCTTGGGACAAAGTTCATCCTTTTGACTTCTAGTGACCTCATAAAATAGCTATTTCCAAGTATCAGCTAACTACAGTATGTCCGTCTGGTGAATCTCATGCCTCTACTTTCTCTCTGTATACCTATTAATCTGTCATTCAGTGCCTATTTACCTTGTTATTAATATCCAGTTAAAAATGACTCTCTATTAAAGTTGTCTTTAATTTGGTTGTGTGTAATTATCACAATCTGAGTAATCGATCACTGGCCACAGGAGGAACCAGCCTGAGCTGAAGCTAAAATGTAAGTTATGTTTATGGTATAAGTGGCAATAACCTGCTACAAGAGTTTCTTCTTCTGGCTTTTTGGAGATACTTGGTGGAACTCACTCTTTACATTACCTTAAATTCATAAAAAAATATTAATTGCATTCCAAAATTATTATTTTTTAATATTAGTTTAGGTTTTTACAGAGTGATAGCCTTAGGCCTCTAATGGGGGGAGTGGGCAATGCTTGGAGTCACCCCCCCAGAAAAAACTTGCAGATAACGCTTTTTGAATAAAATCTATATTTTCTTTAATAAATACAAGGCTCTATGATAATGAGGTGTATGTAATTAAACCTAGGCTCCCATGAGGTTGGTGAACCATCAATTAATTAAGAATCCAATTACAACATGTACCTATTAATGTATAAACTACTGTCATAGCAAATGGAATTTTAATATGACTATATAATTCTAGTAATTCGTTTTCAATGTCAGACTATTTTTGCATGTTCAATAACAGATTATTAGCACATCCATAGATTAATATACCTTTAACATCAATATTTAGCATAAAACTCTAATCATATGGCAGGTCAGGTATTATGAGAGGGGAAATCTCAAGGCCTTCTAGGCCTTTAGAGAAACTGCATGTCTGTAAATGTTTGGCTGGAGTTTAACTCTCCAAGTATTACAGCACTATTCTTGTTTCATTGTAAAGTTTTGGATAGAAATAAAATGGTTTAATTCTTGAAACTCTGAGTGGAAAATTGGCCAATCAGGAATTGTTTTTCTTCTTGGTGTCTATATAGATATAGATATCTTCTCTCCTATTGCTCTCTTATTGGTTAGGACTTCAACAGCTTATACAAAGTCATTTGACATTTTACCAACCTCAAACATAATTATGAAGTGACAGAATAAAGCAGCTATGTCTTGATTTCCAATGGCTCGGACCAATTTTGTGAGAAGAAAAAACACTTTAGGCCTTGAGGAGGTCCTAGATACATCACTGACTGAATACAAACATCAGTCAATCAATGTGCTGTTAGAAATGGAAAACAGTGACAGCAGCTCTACACCACCTTTTCCACTGAAAGAGCCACTGCCACAGCTGCCACAAGACAAACTATGGTAAAACATGGAATGTCTTTTAGAAGCTTCAGATATCTGTGATTAATCTAGAACTGCCTCTTTCAAATTTACCTTAAACATATCAGCAGTCCCATAAGGAAAAAAAAGTTATGGACATTGCAATCCATGCTGACATACATTCCAAACACTAAAATGTATATCAGAATATTTTGTCATATAACCAAATATATTTCAAAAATACATTTATTTTAAATATATGGGGGAATATTTTATACGGTACATCTCTTGGTGTAGTGTGTGTCTGTAAATATGTTTATGAAATAAATTTGAAAATGTAGGAAAATAGTCAAAATACTGTCTAATGCACTTTTTTGTTTGGATACCTTTTAACTGATATTTGAGTTCCAGTATCTTAATATTAAATATTAGCAAATGGACCTTTAATATGGCAAAAACAAGTGTTGTAGGTATTGATACACTGTGAAAATACAGTTTGATGGTTGTTTGATTTGAAATATATTTTAAGTGAATGCTCTCTTAACACACACATACAATGGTGCAAAGTACAATGCAAAACACAGACGTCAGTACCATTTAGTTTTATCTCTAACTTTTGTTAGAACTACATACAATTGATATATATATATATATATGTATAAAAGCAAATATAAATTAATGCATTTAAAAAAAAATACTTAATATATTCTTAACAAATACATTTTTGGCCATTTTCATACATTGGCAAAATATATTTGATAAATACATTTGGAATATATATTTTTTCCCATATGGGATTTGAGTACCAATAGATTTTCCGTTCCATAGTGACCAAATACTCCAGAATGTAACTGCAGCTCCATTTAAGGTGGAACAGAACATTCATCAGCCTTGTGAGAAAGTCTTCATGCAAATCGATGTTACCTTAGCGCTAACAAACTACTAGAATCCTATCAGAAGTTAGCATTGGCACTGAGGTGGGTTTTTTCTTCATGTTTTGACCGAGTTTTGACATTTATAGCCCAGAATGAAGATCTAGGTCTAGATCTCCTGGTTCGCCACTGTATATGAGCAGTATGTTGCCCCGCAGTGTTGATAGGAGACACACATGGCTGGTTTTGACTTTCAATAAACAATCGGTAGAATTTGAATTTTACAAAAAAAGACAAAGCTCAAAAACAAAGTACCCTTTAATAAAGTGCCTAATGACATCCACTAAATACCTAATAAAGACTGTAAAACTCTCTTACCTCCTCATTACTGTGAGCACTGCAGGGATTATTGAGTGAAATACATGCTCCACAGGATGGAAACTGGCTGGTAGCACGAACCTGTAAGACACAAAAGCATGGAGATTTTCAGGGTTGTATTTTACTGAGTTTTTCTGGATGTTGCATTTAATGAATTCATGTTGCATACCTCTGGTACAGCGCAGCAGGTAGCATCTAAGCCATACAGTGACATGCAGATGGAGACGATGAACTGAAGCAGAGAAAAAACCAGGAGCACTCCACTGATCCCATTAGTCCGACTCTGAAACATAAGCCAGCATTAGTAAACAGACACCAGACCTGTGCACAGATGTTTTAAGAGGCAAGGGCTGAAGGGAAGTTGAATGTGAACTATTTAAGTGTAATATATAGGATAATGTAAACAATTTATCAAGGTAGAAAGTGTAATCATGTTTTAGAGGAAACCAAATGTAATGCTAGAAGTCTAAAATATTAGCTTTACTGCTCAAACAGGGACTCGAACCCCAATATCCAGCATACAGTGCTGTGATATTACCCACTACACTATTCAGTAGCTATGAAGTCTACACATAATTTCTAAGCCACTTATCTTCCTGAGTTGCAGGGGGTGCTGGAGCCTATCCCAGCCCTCATTGGGCAGAAGACAGGGAACACCCTGGACAGGTTGCCAGTTCATCAGAGAGCAAACACACACATTCATGCTTAGGGGCAATTTAGCATCTCCAATTGGCCTGACTGCATATCTTTGGACTGTGGGAGAAAACTCACACAGACACAGTGAGAACATGCAAACCCCACACAGAAAAGACCCGAAAGAATCGAACCCAGGCCCTTCTTGCTGTGAGGCGACAGCACTGCATCACTGTGCTGCCCTGCTATGAAGCAATATGTTTTAGTTCTTTTGAAGAGCTCCACAGAGCCTGGCATAAATTTTTTTCTAATAATATAAACTTGGTTTAGTATGTTTTTAGCGCTCAATACTGCTCACATCATGTTTGGTTGTTGTTCAAAACGACCACATTATGGAATATAATGCTGAATTTCTGGTGCTGTGGTCATGTGTGCACCCATGTAGGTTGACTGAGGTGAATTCACCATAATGCACCAGAGGGTTCTGCTCAAAAGTGTTACCGCTTGGGCAACACTGAGCTGAGCATCTTGAACATCTGGAAGAATGGCCTACTGTATGTTACTACAGTACTATGCTAAGGTTAAATGCTTTGCAGTTGGTGTAATCAGACACAAACCATGAAGAGGTCACAGTAGGAACTGAATATGCAGTCAGGTCCCATAAATAAGCCATTAAGCCCATATGCCAAGTCCAAGGAAAGTAGAATGGTGGCCATTCCTGCAGTTACTGCACTGAATACATTCACTGCCAGTGAGCTTTTCACCTGGAAGAAGCAAAAACCACATAGCATTATGTACAGATTTAATTTTACATTTTTTCCTAGTATTTTATATTTCTTTCAGAACAGTAGTGAATGTCTTTCCTCAGCAATTTGTCATGGTTTGACAGCCATGACTTTTTGACAGCCAAAACTACAACAGAGTTGCAGAAAGACCCACATGAAGGTGAGACATATCGGTACATGAGTTTAACATGTTCAGTATGATGTGCAAAGCTGCTAGTTATAGGAGACAAACTGGAATAACATACAATTTTGTTTTTATATTACAAAAAGCTTTTAAAGGACCACCTTGTCCCACTATCAAGGCAAGATGCCCACTTACATGGGGTAGGAAGCCCTCCTGGGAAATTCTGCATTGGTTTATCATCTAGGTCTTATAGAATATACAATCTGTGCGTCTGATCATTTCTAGTTTTTGCATTGAAAACTATGAAAGATAGTTGAACTAGTGTTAACATACCAAACAGTGCTGAAACTTGTTCTGGGCAGCCACAGACAGAGCGCCGGCAATGATATACTGAGGAGGGATACTAAAAGTTAGTCAAAGTTTTTATTCTAAAACTTTTAACTGAAAGAAAACTTGCCAAGACTTACGATGATGGATCCCCAGTATCCATGTAAACTCTGAGAGAAAGACTGAGTGCCAGGGTACTGTGATAGCACAATGGCTAACAAAAATGACATCACACCTGTCATGATTTGCACTGTCTGTGGGGAGACTTCTCAGCCAAAACTCCGTATGTATAATAAATTCTCAAGTTCTATAAAACAGATCCAGTTCTTAATTCAATTTGAAGCCATTGTGAGCCAAGACCTTTTGTCTAAAATTGGATTGCTGTCTGTCAAACCATTGTCATTTTATATGGGTGTTTCCTTACTTTTGAGACACCCTGTATATTGTGGCTGTTGCACAAAAAATTGTATTTCTATTTTTGTCATTTTTCTTTTTTTGTCTAATAATATGTAAAGTCTAGTATATATGTATTATGCCTAATAACCTCACTTGTGTGGAAATCCCTGCACTAGAACATCAAGCTGCTTTTATTTATTTATTTATTACTGCTATTTACTTATATTTGTAAAGATATCTTTTTTATCACTGCAAGACTGAAATTATTTTAGATGTAGAATTGTTTCCAGAAGTTTTAAGAAATGTTAATAAGTGCATTATTTTTAGAGCATTTTTTTAACTATCAAACATTAACATTAACCTATAAGCAAAAGCTATCGCAGGACACTCAGAAATGAATTTTTGCGGAATATGCACCACCGTCTGAATCCAACTTTTGAGATGAGCTATTCTTTTATCATAACACTCAAAATTTTGAGAATGAAATGCCCTAAACAGGTCATATTTTTCTCCTCTGCCTGGCAAGAATGAGCTTCCAAATAATGTACACTTCTGCACTGTAGCGTACATCGTTCTAGCTTAAATAATTCTTTCAGCAAAACGTAAGACATTTTCACTGATCTTCATTACAAGTGAGAGGTTTGTTATACAGAAGGTTCATCAATAACATGAAAAAAAATAACATTGTAATCTCATGCTCATGCTGTTATTCCCACTAGAATTTCAAGTTTCTGTTTCAATAAAAGTGGGGGAGCAAACACGTATGCTTGCTGTCCGTCTAATAAACGCGGGGTTGCACATACACAACTTGTTCCATTGCACAGGCACCAGTGTCCAGCATGGAAGGTCTCAGAAGCAGGAATATCTTACCCCCAGTACTTTTGGTATTGTGGACCTGGCTGAGCCTGGAGTGGAGTGGTCATGTCTTGTGTTTCTGGCCAGTAGTCTATTAAAGAATCCTGCTCCACTCTCTGGTCCATTCTGTCCTGCCCCAGCTGGGGCTGTTTGCCCTGGGATCACATGGGTCACAATGGTGAAGCCATTTCCCATGTTATTAGTTGGCATGAATGTGATGGACATCCTTTAAAACAAATTGAGTTGTTGAGCAATTTCTGACAAGAGAAATATGTTGTATAGTGAATTTACTCCACATGCGCTGAATCTACTTGACTCAAAAATAGTATATTATTTTAAATAAATCAGTTATCATATTGTGTTGATGTAATACAGTACTGAAAAAAGGCTAAAACGTCCAGTCAAAACAGCTATTCGCTACAAATTATCCATTTTTATTCTCAGAAACATCTATGTTACAGTAATTTAAGTGTTCCCAAGACAAACATTCACACAAGCAACTACCCAAACTCAGCTCAGGTGCCTTTAGATTTTTTTCACATGCATCTAAAATGGCTAAAGATGACATTTCTAAGAGAATTAGTTAAAAGAATTAGAGAAAAAATCCACTTGCATAGGGAAGTACAAAGTCAAAAGAAAATAAGTTGAAAAAAAAGAAACAGGAGTTTCCAAAACTGACGTTTAAAAAATGATTAAAAGCTGCAGAGACTCCTAACAGCCACCTGGAAGACCTGGTAGACACCAAAACTGTCCCCATCAGATAAACAGCAGTTAAAGCTTTCATCTTTGAGAGAGAGGAGAAAATCAAGCTGCTTCAGATCTGAAAACATCCACAGGTGTTTCTGTCCATCCTTCCACTGTGAGAAGACGACTCAGCGCTATGGGTCTGAAAGGATGTGTAGCTGTTCAAGAAGAACCTCACTGAGAAAAGGAGACGTACACAAAAAGGAAATTTGCACTAGAAACTGTGCACCGATCAGATGTCCAGTTTTGGTGGTCTACCAGGCGTTGAATGGTTTACATTTAGTCTCCTCAGAAATATCTCCCAAAAAATGAATAGTTTGTACATGATGGTCACATTGCATGGGAATTAATTAAAGGATTGTCTCTGACTTTTGTACAGTACTGGTCATTTCCAATAAATAGAAAGGTTTCTGTCAGAAATGTCCACCAGGATGTCATTGTTAACTGTTAGATATGTATAGTGAAAAGTTTCTTTGCAGAGGATTTGTTAACTTATTTTTGCTTAGAAAACCAACAAAGCACATAATTTGACTGGGCGTGTTCAGATTTTCGATACGACTATATCATTGGGCTTGATGAGTTTCTTAGCTGTATGTTTTCTTTTACAAAATATACTAACAAAGTACAGCTTAGTAAGAGAAATATATCCATATAAAAACTCAGCTGAGTTGAGTGGTTTTACCTGATGTTTTTCTCGTCTCTGCTGTGTTGTTGCTGTGTCCTTCCTCCTCAACGCTCAGTTACATCAGTCCGTTTGAAATCCAGGAAGTTTCATGTATTTTTATGACCTTTGGAACACTATAAAACACAACAGATATTTAAGCAGGGCGCTGTCTGTGGTGGGGTTTTGAAAGCAAGTATGGCCACTATGTTAAAGTCCAGTTTCGGCCTATAAAAGCCATGAAACGTTAGAATGAATACAAAATGCAAATGCAAGTTTGGTCAAAAGAGGAACAGCTCAGAGGCAACTGATTTAATTTAAAGGAGCACTATCTGATTCTGCAGAACGATTATTGATTTGAACTCAACAGCAAAACAAACACACCCCTCGCTTCAGTGCTCCTTCAGCAACTGCGCCCCCCACATTCGTGGATGCACATTGTTGAGGCCAACATGCCTTTTTAGATCTTTGTTGCCATAAAACCCCTCGCAAACCTTGTACACACAAATACCATGATATAATGTTAGAGTGAATAACCGTTTGGCAAGTAATGTAACTAACGACGATAGCTAGGTAGTGGGTTAGCAAACTGTCGCTACAGTTGCTGTTATGAAGCTAACCAGCTGCTCTCACAAACATTCGCAAACAAGACAAAGTAACACTGACCTATTGTTTCTGTGAAACAGCAGAAATGAGGTAATGCCACCCACCTGTCAAGCAGGAGTGACTTCCTCATCCCTTTTCATGCATTTCAACTCTCAATGAAGCTGAGATCAACCTTTTTTTTCACCAGCATTTTTTTTTTTCGAATGTTCTCATCCCACCTTAAAATGTGCCCTCACAATGTGGGCGGGCACTGTTTGGGGAGGGCAAAACAAAACTTGAGGAGGGCTGTCTTCACAGGGCGAAGAGACTGAATTCTTTGAGAAAAGCTTAAAGAGTTAGGCTGACACATTAAGTCACAATGGATTGTTAGTATTTGTATATTTGCATTTCTGGCTTGATCAAGAGGCACTTGGACATGGCTTTAAGAGCTCAACACTGAGCAAAGAAATGAGCTGAGCTCTCGTTAAATGGGGTCACTGGTCAGCCCTAGTTACTAAAGTGGAGCTCTCTGCCACCCTTTAGGTGGATGGGGCCTAGCACATGGCCGGGACATTACATTATCTAGATGCTTTTTTGCATAATTCAGATGTTGGCTTTTGTGATGAGGACTGAAAGTAGTTGGCTGCACAGGTTGTGTTTACTTCTTTTCACTTACGAAATCAACAAAGTATGTAATTTGGCCAAGTGTGCGAAAACCTTTGCATAGAACTGTAGGAAATCTGGACAAGTCGAGACAGTAGAGCCTACAACACCAGCTGTGCATGTAGAGACCTGTCGACTCATGCAGTTGGGTTTAGTTCTGTGTCAGTGGCATTGGGAGTGTTTGAAGGATGTCAGTCAAGTGTGCTTATTATAATATAAGGCCACGCCCAGACTGTTTTGAGATTTTTTGAGCATTTTTAAGTTTTTACTCTATTTCGATCTTGTTTTTTCATTTCAATTTTGATGGATATTTAATATAACATTTTAAAATAACACATAATATCACACAGACATTTCTAATGTTTCACATTTACAGTACCAGTAATTTAGCTCATTATGAAGCCCTACTACATGAGCAGAAACAGCTGTGTCAGCTTGGGAAAAAAGCACAACTCTGCAGTGTCATGGTCTTGCCAGAGAGGAGATTTTGCTGAATATGTGGCCACTCCCCTGCTGCATGACATTATCAATACGAGATGCCCATAAACAGGCAAACAACTGGACTAGACTGGACTGTGTTGCAGTAATGTAGGTTAACAGCCTTTTATCTCACTTCATTTGTGTATTCTTTGATCATCTCCATGGTGACGGGTGACTAAAGGGGTTGGCCTGTGTGCCATGTCTATATCACTGAACAGTTACTAATATGCTAAAAACTGATATGTTAACCCTTTAAATTCTCAGGCTTGTCATTTACTAAGGCTTATTATTCAGTAACTACAGGGGCTTCATTGTAAACTGGATGAGCTATTCTTAGGTGTGTAATAAAACTTTGGGCCCTGGCCTTTCTAGGGGTTAATCTTATATTTAGAGTGTGAGTTGTTAAATAACAAAATCTTTATTTTTGGAGCCTATACACTTAAAAATAACTCTTCATGGGTTATTTAATAAAGAAAATGGCTCTATAAAGAACCATGAACACTCAAAGATCCCTTTGCATGATTAAAGGATTCTCTACATTGTGAAAGGGTTCCTCAGACTGATAGAAGATGTGCTGTAGCGGGTTCTATGCAAAACCTTTCTGAAAAGGGTTCTGTATAACACCAAAAAGGGTTCTTCTGTTGTTACAAGCTTGACATTGAAACAAAAGAAGAACCTCTATTGGTGTTATAAATAACCCTTTTCAAAAAGAAACTCTGAAAACATCATTTTTAGAGTGTATTTTTTAGAGCCTATTTGCTCATCTTTACTCAGGGTGCAAATCAACTACTGGCTGGATTGAGTAGAACATCCCTTCCTTCAAGAAGAGCCCAGGTTCACACTTTGCCACAGACACTGCATTAGCTGGTTGAGTTACTTTGAGACTAATATTGTTTTAATGCTCTACAGAGTAATTCATTCCTTTGAATCAATTTCAGTAGGAACTATTGATCATGTACAGCAGTTGGCTTTGCTTCCAAATGCTGAAATACCGATGGAGATGAAACACTGAAGCAGAGAGAAAATCTGAAGCACTACAGCGACACCAAAAATCCAGTCAAGGAACCACAGTTTTTATTACTGCATGCGAAGAAGCTGCTGTGTAAGCTCTCCTGAATAAATTACCTCCACATTGTTTAATTGCACACATGGTGCATTTCTTATCACCTTTGGAATCATTATGAGGCAGTTCAAAGAAATGTCTTTCCCATTGAATTGTGTTAACACCATTAAACAAGGCTGTATATCAGCCCTCCTGACTCAAATTTCAGACATTCACCAGCCTCACATTTTAATTACCTTGTTGTTTATAATAAACTGGATAGTTCCAGCTCTCAAATGTATTATGCTAAGTCATGTTCCTTGTAAAAAAAAAAAAAAAAAAACTCAGTATACACACATGACCAGCTTAAATTCTGTATCATCATTTTTACACACGCAATCATTTGATGAGAAACATTTGTACACATGGCATGCAAAAAATATTGTACCTCATAATTTTTGTTAAACTTTTTGTATAATTTGAAAACTAGTTATTCTTTATGTTGTGTTCAAATTTCATGATGAACGGCTTCAAAATTACATTAAAAAAGTTTAAAAAGTCAAAAAAAAAGTCAATTTTTTTTTGCCCTTTTCAGGTAAAGTTAATGTTTGGTATGGTGCAAGGTCTAGAGATACCTATAAAATAACTGGCTGAATGCTTTAGAATTTAGAAAAAATATTAGGTCTTTTTTTTAGGTCACACTATATATAAATGTCTGTAATAACTGTGTAGTTACACATTAGCAATACACTGTTACAGATGATTAGAGTAGTATAGCTTATACAAACGTGTGTATCAGATTCAATTTTTACTTCTGTAATTACACAAGTGATTCTTGCAAGATCATAGTGTAATAACATATTAATTATGTCCGTATGTAATCCATAATAACATGTAATAGAGAAAACTGCTGTTTTTCCAATAACTGCTAATAAACACTTTTCTAATAGTTGAAGGATGCATGTAATTAGATGGACAGCATGTGTCCACATACCATTAAAAGGTGAATGTTTCATTAAAATATGTTTTGTATTACATATATTGCCCCCAAACATCTTGGACATTTGCTATTGATGTAAATACTGTTACATTACAGGATGGTTTACAATCAGAACTTTGGTTATCATATCTTTGTTTATCATATACAACATAAACATCTAAACTCCTATGCACTGGTCAGAAAATCAGCACTTCAACCTACTACATGTGTAATATCTTGACTCTTGTGATAGCATGGGTAAGAAAAACTATGCTTTTTCACCAATCAAGATACACTTGTTTAATAATAAGAGTGAAAACTGTATGTTCACATAAGCTGTACTACTGTACTCCATCTGTAACAATGAACACATCACCTGTAGCCACATTGTTGCTGCTTGTGTTTTTAATATGTAACTACATAGTTTTAGAGACAGTATTTAATATTAAAACTGTTATGATAAAAAAGTTATGATATGTTTAATGAACAAAGATATTGAACATTCAGCACTATTTCTAGTGTCACTGTTCAAATGTGAGCTATTTTAAGCATCAGCCTTTGTACAAAAAGGTCAGACTGTTTTTGAGTCTTCTATCTTTCACTGAAGCTCATATTCAGTCGACTCTCCGGTGGGTTCAATCTGCTTATCAGAGGCTTTTGTGCAGTTTGTGCAGCTTGAGTGCACCATGTCATTAAAGCAAAAGCGGGACACACCACCACCTACTACGAAATTCTGAAATTCCTGTGAATATTTCAAAGAAAATTATTATGCTGCTGATATAATTTGTAATGTAAAATGTTGTATTAAATTAGAAAGGAATGCTCAATAGAAGCATACTACTGTATGTGATATACCTCACTGTTGGGATAAAACCTTGTATTTCCATTTTTGCAGCTTATAATTTATTGACATCATTAGAAATTGCTAGATGCGCTTTATGTTATATCAACATTTTGTGATAAATGGACAAATAGAAACAGCATAAAATTGCTTGGAATATACATTAATGTCTACTAAATTTCTATAAAAGTTAATAAGTTTTTTTTTTCCTTCTCCTGTAAAATGACCTGTTTTAAAATACAGGCTTTTGCTCTGACAGTGATGAAATGCATGTCCTTTGTATTAAATACATATAATTCAATGTTTTGTCATATACACATTCAGTTTTTGACATAATTTGAAAATATCTGTTACCCTTTACATTGTTTGCATATTTCACGATGAATGGACTAAAATAATTGACCCAAATGTCTGGTTTCATTGACCTACATTAAAAGTAAAGTAGGTTTTTTCCTTCTCCTGTAAAGTTACCATTTTGGAGATACGAGGTTTTCTTCCAACAGCATATATATACAGTGAAGAGGCAAGAGTATGTAAATTCATGAAGTGAACATCTGGTATGTAATAGCCATGTTACTTGATTATTTGTTTGGTTGTTTTTTTCTTAATGTGCAATACATTTTTCAGGTGCATCCAATATAATGGATGAAAAATGACTGGCGATCTCTACCCTGATGACATAAACTGTAATGTTTTTCAGACAGATATCTCAGTTATATGGTATGTGAGACCAGTATACATCCGAGGTCAACAAACGTTCTCTAACAAGAGAAACAATCTAAATTGCCCTGATAGTAGCACATAGCCAGAACATTATATGAGCAACTTACAGTAAGTGTAGCGATGTCAAGGTGTGGTGTCTGTATTCCAGCACTGTGAGTAAATCATTATCAAAGCTGGGCTGCATTCTCTATGTAGTTCATGACATGATTTCAGTGGACTATTGTAAAGCTAGTTTCATTGCGTGTGTAAAAACCATCCTTAATGATCTACCACCTGAATACGTTTCAGTGTGCCAGAGTAGCCTATTCCTCACAGTGTAAACAGATTTGTTGCTTTAATTTCTGAGTGCCAATCTGCATCGCATTGACTGCTGTGTCCTTTCTGAGCATTAGTTGTCCACCACTTCTACCATCGATGGTTAGTGGTTAAGAATCTTTATTTTTCAAGTCTTTTCTTTTCTCTCTGTTCTTTACCTTTCCTTATTGAGGACGTTCA